CATACAGCGATGGACTGTTATAAAAAATAGTATGAATAAATAAAAATAAAACAAATTAGTTCTCTTTTTGTACTATCCCTAAGGACTTTAAAAGCAATTTAAAGAAAAATATTTTGAATTGAAAATAAGTAACTAAAGAATGAAAATGACCACGCCGACACTCCTTACACTCGCTTCTTCCAAAACTATGAAAACTATCTTCAACAATTGTTTTTAAAAAATATTTGCAGTGCTTGGATTTTTTAAACACCGTTAGAAGAAGAAAAGCCTGAAAAATATTTTAAATAAATAAAATAGTTTTTAAATTTTTTAGTCTTAGCTATGAAAACCCTCTTCAACAATTGTTTTACGAAATGCTTGCAGTGCTCGTATTTTTTAAGCACTATTAGAATGAGAAAAGCCTGAAAAATATTTTAAATAAATATTGTATACAAACTAAATAAAATAGTATTTAAATTTTTTTAGTCTTGTCTTTTTTGTCAAGAAAAAAGTCTGAAAAATATTTTAAATAAATGTATGGTGATTAGTGACCGTTAATCGATAATTATTCAGAAATCGTGAGATGCGGTCTGGTGTGATGTAGGTTTTAGAAAAACATTTTCTTTATCGTACCAACGTTTCGATCTTTATTGAGCCCTGAAGATGATCTCAATAAAGATCGAAACGTTGGCACGATAAAGAAAATGTTTTTCTGAAACCTACATCACACCAGACCGCATCTCACGATTTCTGAATAATTATTTTAAATAAATAACATTGCGGTTAACTTTTTGCTCTTTTCTGCTCTAATGTTCTTACAGGCGTGGTGCAACATTAGCAAACACTACGTGTAAAAGATGTAAAAGAAGGAAAAAATACTGCTTTATTACAAAACTGATTTTTTTTTTTTTTTTTTGTGAAGCGAAATTGCGCCTTTTTACATACAAACTCAGCAGCAAAATATTTAATTATTGTCCACGAGTAAAAGGAAATAAAATTAATATAAACGAAGAACAAATATAAATTGGAAGAGTTACAAGCATATTTTCAAGCTTAAGTTTGAAAAAAACAAAAAAAATTCGAAATTTCGAAAACTCTTTTCACAATCCCCTTTTGCAGAAACCTGCTTTTATCTACTCTGAAATACTCTTTTGCAGATATAATAATAAAAATGGGGAATAATAATCCGTCAACCTCAAAACTCTCACTAAATTTGTCTATGTAATTAGAAAAGAAAATCAATTTTCATGCTGCGAACAGCTTTAACTTAACGTTAAATTTTGATTGTATTATTATGCGGTTCTTGAGACCTCTGTAACAGTGTACTGTTTGATATACAACGTCATCCTTCCGAAAGATTCATCACGAAATAAGACGTGAGGTTCCAATATGAATGTATGCTGAATAACTTATCATTCCCCTGTGAATTTTTCGCCAGCTAGGTGAAAACCACTCAACCGAGGATGGAAGGTGTTCCGGGATGATTTACCAGCCCATAGTAACAATAGGAAAATTGTTTATTGCGCCACGGTCGCGGCCTTCAGAGCAGGATGCAAGCGTAATCCCCGTCAGAAACGGTGTAATAAATTTTATGTATTGAAGCAAAGGGATCCGGTTAGACAATGGAAAAAAGGACGTCCATCAGTTGTGATGATATATCATAGTGAATAAACTCAACAGCTAAGAAGGAAATCGGCTTTATTCTCGGCCGTCGTGTAACAGTAGCGACCATACAACAGTTTCCCCGGAGGAGGTCCAGCAAGGTCGACATTAATCAAAATCTGTATGTGACATCTGAATAAAATCCGACAGCGATGAGAGTGCGATGATAAACCCTAACCCGTTCGTTCATAAAGGTTTTCGCCAGAAATTCCACGCCTCATTTGGGCTTAGCCGGTGACCGAATGAATTAGCATAGCTATAACTTTAAATCCTTTGTTATTAGGATGAGTCAGATGCATTTGAAACCTTTCGACATTCAGATGATTAACGTCTAACGTTTTCAGTAGAAACGTTCACTGAAAATTCAAACGCTTGGTGAATTTTTTAAATATGGATTAGATCAGCCATCAGGTAATAAAGTTCATTTCTTGATTTGTGTAGCTTTAATAGCGACTCTAGACATTTAATCCAAAAAGACATGTTTTAACATTTGCTTGGGCGCTATGTTGGCAAGGAGACGTTTTGTTATATTTCTTGAGTGACAATGTAAAGTATAGCTGAGCCATAAAACATCAAAAAGCTCGCAGATCTTAGATTTATATAAAAAGTCGAGGTTTAAAGAAGTATCAGATACACATCGCAAAACACTTCTGTCTCAAATCTGAGAACCCTGAAACAAGGAAAGTCTTGCCGATGTGACAGTGAAATTGACCATACCTAAATATCATCTGACACCTGAAATGGTTTAAGGTTACGTACATTTCAAAATTACCTCTGCTTTCACTTTTAAAGGTTTTAAGGGTTGTATCCTTTCACGGAAACTAGATATACGAAAAAAGAAACTAGTCGCCAATGGGTTTAAGGATGAAAACCGATCAAATTCAGTCCGGGATGATGGAATACGTCAGAACTGCGGGTACAAAACTTCACAGACCTAAACAAATATCTCACAATTCAATTATTTGTGTTAATATTTCTAACAAACAAGCAAATATTGTTTAAATTTCAAAAGTTTAAGCTACAATACGCCCCTATTATCCAAAGAATTGTTTTTCTACATACTTTTAATAATCTTATCGACATTGCTTTGTCGTGGTTCCATCTTGTTTTTTATGTCCATCCTGTGAGAAAATGAAACTTTTATCGTGGTTGTTTTAAAACGTATTCCAATTCATTGTTTTGTTATAATATAATACATTAGTGGAGCAAATTAACCCACCACCCTTATAATTTTAATGTATTTAGGTTTATGCATGTTTTGCATACCAAAATTAGGTTTGGTTGTAAAACATATTGAGTATAGAACAAAAAATGTCCTCTTAAATGCCGAGTATTTCCACCTATAGACCGAAACACGTGCGGAAATGTCTGGTAATATCCTGACGAATTATTTCCATTCACCAAAAACAGCCGTTTCCAACTCTCCTAGGGTGTTAGGACCTGGGTCTCGCCGTCGTCACTTAAGTTGGTGCCAAATGTGTTCGATTGGGTTCAAATCTCGAGTTGTCAACCGAGCACTCAATTCCAAACTCATTCAGGTAGTCATCCACAATACGTGCTTTATGGGGCCTGGTGTTATCCTCATTATCAAGAATCTCTCACCATTGTGGAGGGCAAATGGCACTATGTTCCTCGATTATGTCTTTAAGTGTCTTTAAGTCTGTGAAGTTAGAGATCTTCCCCTGACAACAACCAATTTGGTGCGGGCGTCCAAGGAAATGTCATCATCAATGGCCCTCTATAGAATGCCACCTGAGGAATCATACAGCATGGGGCTACCCTTCTTCTGAGTGTCTCCATATGAACTTGTCTGAAAATTTGAGGCCCATTTTCACCTCATCTTTAAAGAGAACTGGTCCCCAATCTTCCAGTGTCCAATTCACATGTTCCCGTCGAATTGAAGCCTAGCCATTTTCTGAGCTGAGGTAAGAAGAGGTACACGAGCCAGGTGTCGAGCCCTGAGGTTATTTTCATTGAGCCTTCTTACAGTTGTAGGGGAAACAAGAAACATTTCGGATTTGTTTTATCAGATCTTATTTCATCTCCCGTGTGCTGCGGTTTCGTAGAGCCCTGATGACGGATGAATCTATTGTCTCTCTCCTCTGTAAACCTAGGTCGACCGTGTCCCGGCCTTCTAGGGTGCAGCCCTATTTCTCTTCCTTAGATTCTCCTTGTTCTTAGATTATGTCTTGTAAATACCTCTGAAAAACGTACCGGTACTGAAGGACCCTTCCTTTGAGAGTGATTTACACTCAGCCTCCTAGCGACTTCGCGCTGGCCGTATCCGTCCCCTGTCACTTTTAAACTCACTCAAATGCCTGACTGGGACCATTGAAAAAGGTTTAAAAATAAGAATATTAAACGAAGGAAAAAGAAAGCGATCTGTAGGCGTTTAGGCAAAATGGAAGGGAAAAAGGCTACTTTTTGTGCAAATGGGATTAATCAGTACAAAAGTGAATAAAGGAGATAAACAAGGCATTATTTACTGCTTATTTTGACTACGATAGCTTCTAATTACCTCCTTCCAATCGAAAGTCCTCAGAATCATAGTCAATGCTCCTGACTACATCTCTAATCACCCTTTTCAATGACCACAAAATCCCTCCCGAACAAAAAATAATGCCCAAAACATTTTCCACTTTCCTCAATAAACTCACGCCAATTGAGATGCCGAATCCTTATTCCTTATAATCCCACTGAGATGATGTGAAGAGGGGATGGGATGATCTTGTGACATACTAAACGAGGATTATTCCTCACATAAAGTTAACTCGCCTCACGTCTCATGATCTATGTAATTTGTAAACCAGCTTATTACATAATGTGTATAAGATCAGAGATTAAAATAAATATATTTAAAAAAAATAAATATATTAAATGAAAATAAATAAAATAAAAACTACGTTGTGACAGAAAAATGTCTTGAGAGGAATTAGCAAACTTCTGTTGCTCTCCCAACTTTACTGAAGTCCTCTCCCAAAAAGTCTATGTTGGACTATTGATATCTTTTTAGAGCAGTGCTCCCCTCTAACTCAACTCAAGTATTTGCAAACTGAACAAAACTCTGAGCACTCCAAGGTGGATAAATAACCATGATCTGAACATCTCTAAATCCTCTAAAGTAATAACATCAACTTGAACAGTAGAAAATTGCTAACTTTGGAAAAAAGCCTATTCAAAGTTCTCAAAATCACACTGACCTGCACTTTAACTATCGAACTAAATCAAAATATTCTGTGGGGTTGCTGGTAGCAACTTCCTAAAAAAAACCTAGTTACGGCTAAAACAGTTTTGCTACAGAAAGTTTTTAATAGGCTGTTATTAAAAAGATGTAGACTTTTCTTTTAATTCAATAAAAAATATATGTAATTTAAATAAAAACCCAAGTAATATTATTCACAGTGCATAAAATAAATATACCAGTCCTTGTGCAAACTGAAATATTTCATTATTTCCCAATTTACTTTCACCATAGACTCGATCGACAAACGTTATCGGTACCTGTAAAGAGAAAAAATCCATTAACAAACCTCTGATTATATTTATGAATTTATGAACATTGTTAGAATGAATTTGTTATCATTAATAAAAACATTGAGCTTGGAAAGTTCTTCTGTAACATGATCAACTCTGCCCCTGATCATTTAGTCTGATTAACCTATTCATGGTGGTTTTACCTGCTGATATTTATTTTCAAATTTAACTTCCTTTAGTAGACAGCCTGTGTCTCGTTTGGGTCTCATGTGTCTTTGCAATGCATTGCATGAACAGGATAGGAATAATGAAAATTGAAAATTTTGCAGAAAAAAAAGATGAAATGCATTTGATAGACAAAACAAGCAAAAATACTGACCAGGACGATCGGAGAAGACCAAGCTGTAGGTTTATCACCATGATATTTTTCTTCTTTTTAATTTTAATGTATGTAATTAAGCAAAGTTCTATGCATATAAATAAGTAATACTATTGGCTGTCCGGAAAATAAAAGGAAGGTTTTTATGATTTCTTTCAATTACTCTTATTACATAATAAACTGTTTGCATTTGATGGATTATTCTTTTGCATGAATGTCAACATTTTTTAATCATTTTCCAAACAAAAATGTTTGTTTACTTCAGTAGCATTTTGTTACTTGGGAATAATTCAGACTTTACCTAAGCAAGTTGAGCCACAGGTTGTGCGAGGATGTTGACTTTTCCATAGGTGTAAAATTGTAAATGGTTTTCATCTACATTCTCCTAAAACACCCAGAAAAAAAAACTCTCCCTGGGAGGCTGTGTGAGGGCACTCCGTCTCTCTCACGAGGAAAGAGGTATATAGTTAATGCCGGAAGATTAGGCCCAAATAATAAAAAAAGTGATTTTTTGATTATTTTGTTTTAAAAGTTATGTTTAGGTCAGAACGGTGCCCAAATAACCAGAAACATTAATGAAGTCTGAAGCGTTGGCAGTGTGAGTAAGAGCACCGTTCTGAGATAGTTTAAAACATTTCGAGAGGGAGACTTTTAGCCTTGAAGACATAGAAGTCCTCAATCAAGTCAAAAAACTGATTGTTATGAAGTGGCTTGACAAAGGAAAAGCAGCACCACATTTTCCAATGTCCCCAACTCATCAAAAAAAGTTGACTCTTTGTTGGGCTTCATTTAGGCTGATTTACTACTGCTTCTTGAATCCTGGCAAAACAATCAACGCCAACGTATGCATTGGTCTCAAACTAAAGTAATGCACCAGAAATTGGCATTATTGGTCCATCTTTGGTCAATCATAAAAAGGCCAATTCTGTTATATGACAACACTCGGCTCCACGTTGTAATTGTTGTTTTTAAGAATGCACTTTAATCATTGCTTTTAGACGCTGGGGATAGGGATAGGGATAAAAGAGGCAGACTTTTGCACCTCGGCCTGAGTAGATCTATTGTGCTACCACATTTTTATGGCTGGCACTGGCTAGCCTGTCAGAAAAGATGGCTCTCTTCCGGGAATGTATTCCCAGCATATTTTATTGCCATGGTGCTGTGTTCAATCTCTATGATTTCTGACTGGAAAACTGTAGCATATTTACCTAGGTATATTGTTTTTGTTTGTTTTTTTTGTTTTTTTTAAGACTTTTTGTCAGTTTTGTTTTAGACTATAAATCTCCCTAATATCCATCCAAAGGTAAATAAATAACTTCGAATTGATATTCACTTTCAATTACTATTGTGAAAGAATTTAAAATCTGTAGTCTTCAAAACTCCTTAATTGACATCATTGTTCTTAAGGAACGAATTATCACTACAATATGGAATATTCTGATAGATGTAATTAAGACAATATTGAAGACAGATATCTATTAAAATAAAAAATAAAATAAAAAGATCTATGTTGAAAGAAGAAAAACTATTTACATTTACTTTAACACTGGCAGACTTGGCTTTTTCTATGCTTTCTTTTATCCATATCTTTTTTTTCTTTTTTTTCAGAAAATTATCATTCTTTACTAAGCAAGTAACTCAAGTTTCCTGCAGTGGTGTTAAATGTAACAAAACTCTTATTTCAGTAACTTCTATATAAATAAAGTATTAAAATGAACCAAAAAGTTACTTTAAGAACCAATGGAACATCAAAAATCTAGACTTCAAAATAAAATAAAAAAATTTATCAAAATGAAGAAATTTGGTCATCTTCCAAGGGACACCCTGCATATTAAAAATTACTACACTTTCATACAATAATAAATGTAGTAAATAACATTATTTATTAATAGTAAACTACAATTTACATGAAAAGCTTACCTCGCCTATTTTATAACCCAGGTGTCTCGCCCTAATTATCATTTCCATTTGAAACACATATCCTTTGGACACACAATTCATAACCAGTGTTTGAAGTACATTTTTTTTATAAAGCCTATAACCAAGAGATTAAATTCATATTATATTTTCAAACTTGAAAATGTGTTTGTAAGATAAATTTTGTGCTTGCCTGAAGCTTCCTGTTAAATCAGAGGCCCTAGGTCTGAGAAGGAACTGGGTAAGAAAATTTGCTCCTCGGCTGATGAGCTTTCTCTTCAAATCCCAGCCAGAGACACCCCCGCCTTTGATGTATCGCGACCCAGAAACAATATCGAAATCACCTTCCTTCTGTTTTTTTATAAATTCAGGAATAAATTTTGGCTAAAACAAAATAAAAACCTGTCAATTATTAACTAAACATTACAATTAGTCCAGGGAGTTCAATTTAAAAAAAAAGGTTACAAAAATCCAAGTGAGGAATAGAAAATATTTCAAGTTTTATTATTACAGATATTATTTTATTATTATAGATTTTAATTCTATTTACTTACATGATGTGACAAATCTGCATCCATAATTATTACAAAATTTCCTGTAGCATGCTTGATGCCATGTATATAGGCAGTACCAAGCCCCAATTTCTTTTCCCTTGGTCTCAGTACCTGCAAAAAAATTAGTTTCTTTATTTCCTATTATATGAAAGAAAATTAACTTATTACCCTAATTAACCTCATCTATAGTACTTTTATTTCCTCTTAATATTTTTTACACAACTTTTAATTAAGATATGACAGGCTCATAAGTGTAATTGTGTTTCTACTGCACAATGTAAGTTGTATAATAGTCATCAAATTGATAGAACATAAGATAATTTTACAAATTTCTTTATATTCAACTTGATATCACAGCTGAAGGGACTTTGCTACTTGCTAAGGATTATCATGGATAAATAGGTTGTGAGGGATATTGTCTACAGTAGAATCGACAAACAAAAGAGGCATTGAGGATCTTGCTGTGTATTTTTGGTAAAAGGGAAAAGTGTGTTGAATGTATTAAAGTTCACTCCACAAAAACTTTACAACAGTAGATGATTCTATAGTTTAATCATTTCTGATCATCCTGGTTTGCTCATCCTCTCTGTTTTGGTTGGCTTGGCAGACCAGGATGATCATAAACAATATATACAATTAAATTTTTCCAGGAGTCAGGGAAAATACCAGTCCGAAAAGACAGTTGAAATAAGTGGGTTATTGGTGAACTGAACAAATGACTACATGATCGAAGATGTTTGGAAATACCATTCGGTCCTGGATTTGGGTTAAAACTGAAGGAATTAAGTGCATTATTGAAAAATAAATAGCAGTGATGATTGATGATTTCAGTTAGTTGATTCCCGAATGTGTGGATGCTTTGAGTTCAGCTACTTCACGAACTTGTGCAATTTTTAGTGGACAAGGAAACCGACATTAGCCGAGCATGGCGAGCATCCATCTCCATTAGTCGGGATTCAGTGAATCCCACATGTCTGGAGCCACCTTAAGAGCCATAATATTATTGCAAAAGTGAAAAAATTAAGCTAATTGCATAAAATGTAAACTTGTATGTAAATCCTTGTACACGAATTGTAATCTTGTATTGTTGCCTTAATTACTAAGGGACAAACAGTAATTTTAAAAAAGGTAAAAAAAGTGAATGACCTAGTCCTTCTTAGGCGAAGGATCGAGTTTGCACTGAACTAAGGAACTAGGAAAGTACACCCTGAAAGATGCAGTGCTTGGGACACAATAAACCCCGATCATCATCACCACCACCACTATAACATTCAAAGGAAGAAATGATACTAATAGTCCGAGAGGGTAAGAAGTTTTTAAAACTTAATTTGAAAAAATAAGTCTGTGTTCAATATTTACAATTTTGTTTTTTCCATCTTGGTTGTATAAATCTTGGAGCTGTTTAGCGACTTCCAAAGTCCCATCGGGGCTGCCATCATCAATGACAATAATCTCATAATCAATTTTTCTGTAAACAAAGCATTGTTTATGTGAAAACATACTAATAAACACAGATAATACAATATTTTATTTTTAAATTAGTTCTTACTAAGTTTGGAGATTAATTTAACAACTTACGTTTCGTCAAGATACTTTGTTATGAGCCAGATAATAATAGGCAAATTATCTCTTTCATTATAAGTCGGAAGGATTATTGAATATTTATTATTTTCTGACATTTTATGGCAGCTTTTTTCACACTTTAAGCTAAAAAATAAATAACTACATCCAACTATGATGTTATATCGTATCTTCGTTATCACTTACACGCACCTATAACAGTCTAATTACTTCCTATTATCAGTACTTGAATGTAATCAATTAAAAAGTTGGAAAAAAGTTTTAAAAAATAAATAGTTAATTAAAAAATATAAAATTCCCCGTTATTATTATTTATTTATTATTATATGTTGTATGTACATTACTTGTTATTATTATATGTAGTTTCTTAGTCAGTATAACCAGACAGTAAACTAACATAACCTGACACGTTGTCCTGTTATTATAGTGAGACGCACGTGACAATAGCATATTTACATCTATTTATTTTAAACTGAACAGAATTTTTTATTCTGAAAGGTTATTTTTTACTATTAGAATTAGAATGTGCAGAAAAGTGTTGTGGTGATAATACATACCCAAAATCGGCGGGCGATCTTCAACGAAACACTCATGACTGCTAAGGAGGAACCGGTCGTCGGATTCGGCGATGCCGAGACCAGGGATGATACGAAAAAATTGACCGCAAAAAAATCCGGCGGTTTTGAAAATATGGGCTTGAGTTTTCCAGTTTTGAAAGGAGTCAGGAAAAGAGGATATAAAGTTCCAACCCCGATACAGAGAAAGGTTGGTATTGTCAATTTTAACGCTGTTGTACCACGAGTTTTTCAATCTGTTTATGTTTCAGACGATACCTTTGGTGAACGTCGGACGGGATGTGGTCGCTATGGCGAGAACTGGAAGTGGAAAGACGGCGTGTTTCATTGTTCCGATACTGGAGAAGTTACAAACCCATAACAAGAAGAGTGGCATTAGAGCAATCATCTTGTCTCCAACGCGAGAGCTGGCATCGCAAGTATGTGTTATATAAAAACCCAGTCACCGAACTACATTGGCATTTCCTCAACCAATTGACTACGATTGTCCCACACATAGTCAAAATCGCCTCCATTTTCCCGTTACTCCTACTTGTTGTAATTTTAAAACAAATAAATTCAGCCAGAATATTAATTAAGTTAGGGCAGGCCTCGCGGTCAGCTTATCAATCATCCCTTAACCCTCAAATGGTACAGTGCTTGAGATGAAATACACTGTACACTACTTCACAGAATTATTGAGCCGTGAATCTTTTCTCCACAAGAACATAAAGATGTACAAACATATCCTACATAACAATCATTATCCTAAACACATAATCAACACAACACTAATACCATCCACTGTCACCAATAACACTACATCATTTCTATCAAACATACAAACCAACATATATATCCATTCCATTCGTTCACAGCCTATCATACAAATTAAACATATTTCTTTCTTCTGATAACTTTAAAGTAGCCTTCAAAAATGATAAAACTCCCCTTTTTCCAAAATTAAAGATCCATCCCACACCTGTAACAAATAAGATTGAAGTAATTTACAAAATCAATTGTATAAATTGTCTGGCAACTTACATTGGAATTACATCCTAATATCTGGATAAGAGGGTGGTAAAACAACATTTCTATGATTGCAAAAACCTAAACAAAATCCTACAGCACTGGCTACCCACCATTTTGAACACCAGCACATATTAAACACAGAACACTATTATATACAGGGTATCCCAGTTCCTTCTGATGAAACTCAGGGAATCGATTCTACTCTTCGTTTGGAGCAAAAAATGCTCAGGAGAAAATATTCAGAAAGTTCTCTATTTTGAAGATATTTGTCAATTTAGGTTTTATCAACTTTTTCACTACCTTACCACATACAACTTCCAAAATGTTGAGACTACAACAAATCCACCATTTAAAGAACGCTAAATTTGCTGTAAAATACTTCTTTGCAATAATCTGAATGCAATGGTTCTTCTTGTAGCAAGCACCTAACAACAATGGAGGAACTTTTCAGAGGAAATGCTCAAAGTGTTTTCCCTCTTCTCGAATGCATAACTGACTTTCTGAATTTTTACCCCCCCCCCCTTCAAATTTACCTTAGCTCACTTTTTCGAACATTCAATTGATATTTTTCAACTCTACTAGAACATTATTTAAAAACCTGGATATATCAACATAAGCATATTAGATGAAGAAGTTTTTTAAGAATTTGACAAGTTGTAGGTATTTTTTTGTAACCTCAGTAGAACGTGCAATCATGACCAAAATTTTAAATTTTGTAATTTTGACATGTTCCAACTTATATTGGCTAACATTTTATGTCATTCAGATTTTTTATGTGGTAAGGTAGTGAAAAGTTGATAAAACCTAAATTGACAAATATCTTCAAAATAGAGAACTTTCCGAACATTTTCTCCTGAGCATTTTTTGCTCCAAATGAAGAGTAGAATCATTCCCTGAGTTTCATCAGAAGGAACTGGGACACCCAGTATATTGTATATACTAAACAAAAAATTAAACTTTCGACATAACATATGTTTTATTTATTATCTACGACATATCGAGATTTAACTGTACATTATTTTAATTGGACTCCTTTTTTTTTTTTTTTTTTTTTTTTTTTCTTTTGTTAGACACTCAGATTTGTGAGGGAGCTGGGAAAATTCACTGGTTTGAAATCATCAATTATTTTGGGCGGCGACTCACTAGAATCAAATTTTTCTCTGATGCATGATCATCCAGACATAGTTGTGGCGACACCGGGAAGATTTTTGCACTTGTGTGTTGAAATGGACCTCAAATTAAATGATGTGCAGATCGTTGTGTTTGACGAAGCCGACAGGTAAATTAAAAGTTGTCACTAGGCATAATTTACTGAAATTTGTATGATATTTGATGATACCTATTTGCCTAACCACAGAATCACTCTATTTGATATACAATATATCTTTAACCTAGTTAAGAGAAAATCCATGAAAAAAAAATCAAATGAAATTCATCTGGAGTACAGAAAAATGAACTAATAAGTGGCAGCATATTTTAAATCCCCCGTATTTATTGACAAAATAAAACATTCTTATTGACTACTTACATCTCATCAGAGAAAGTCGAACATCATAATATTTGAAATTTGCAGACTCTTTGAGATGGGATTTGGTGAACAACTGCGTGAAATTATTCAACGTCTTCCAGAAACACGACAGACGCTTTTGTTTTCTGCGACGCTTCCAAAAGTCCTTGTTGAATTTGCACGTGCTGGACTTTCTGATCCAATTCTATTAAGGTGTGTTTTTTTTTTTTTTTTTTTTTTTTTTTTTTTTTTTTTTTTTTTTTTTTTAATTTACAATTTCAATAATTTATAGGTTTACTCTCACCCTTAGAAAAGGAATGTTTCTCTTTATTGCATCATAACTATATATTTAAATTAAATATCAATATACTAGTTTACAGGCTAACAAACAGTGGAGGTCATTGCTGGCCATTTGTGTTTTTTACTTCTTTTTCTGGTCTTTTACATGAATTTTTTAACTTGTAGTGATTGAGCATCTTGGCAAACAAGTCTGGTTACATTGCCTCCCCCGGATTACTCAATAATATTCTCCATTCTTGCTAATAACTTATTTTTACTCAAAATTTGTGCCTACCGGCATACCCAAGACTATGCACATATTAATTACATCAAAATATTGCCTATAGATATCAAGCCTTCTACAATTGAAAATGTGCTCAATTGTTATTTTATTATTCCATCAAGCTTTCTGACGAGGAAGTTCTCATGATTTATTCTTGGTATGACCTAGGTGTAGTCTTGTCAGTATGGTCTATTTTCTCTTTTCGGCCCAGTCTCCATGGACCAGGGAGCACAATTTTCTTAGCCTGCCACAGTTTGGCATTTATGTTTTTATGAGGCCAGCGATTTTTTTTTCTTCTTCTTTGTCTTCTAGTGGCTTCTTGGTTCCCACCTATCTCATTCCTTTTAATTGTTCTTGCATCTTCTTTATTAGATGATCCTCATGGGCTCTATGCCTGAGCTTCTGGACCACATACATCTTAAAGGCACTGAATTAATGTCTTATTTATAATATTTAGGTTGGACGTGGAAACGAAAATACCAGACACTTTAAAACTATCTTTTATTTCTTGCCGTTCAGAAGAAAAGCCTGCAGTCCTGAAATGTTTGCTAAGAGACTTCGTCAAAACTGATTCTTTGACAATGGTATTTGCCGCGACAAAACACCATGTTGAGTATATTCATAAGGTACTTTTTTTCTTTCTTTTTTAACAAGAGATTAGTCAATTTATAATCATTTTATTAATTATTCTTGTTGTAGCTTTTAGAAAAGAGTGGGATACCGAATACATTTATATATTCAGATTTACACTCGACAGCGAGGAAAATAAACGTAGCTAAATTTCAAACGAAAAAAGTCAAAGTGCTAATAGTAACAGACATTGCAGCTAGAGGAATTGACATTCCCCATCTGGACTTTGTCATAAATTACAATTTTCCGTCAAAACCAAAATTGTTCGTTCACAGAGTTGGTAAGTGTAATACATTATTTTTGGTATATAATCAAGGTTTGAGTTAGTTTATTGTTGAATTGATTACTTTTCCAGGCCGATGTGCGAGAGCTGGTCGTGAAGGGAGAGCTTTGTGCTTAGTCAGTAGCGATGAGGTTTGCTACATGGTAGATCTACATTTATTCCTGGGCCGGCCTTTGACACTAGTACCTCCTGGTATAGGCTTGGAGGACGACGGTGCACTAGGAAAAGTACCACAATCTGTACTAGACACTGAATTGAGCGAACACGATTCATGGCATGCCGAAGGATCAGATTTGGTATAACTGCATATAACTTGTAAGAATTGTCTTTTATGTTTGTTTTTTAATAACAAAATTTTAGGCATCAACGAGGCATGTTGCTGAAAATGCATATAAACAATACATCAGATCTCGCCCAGGCGCCTCTCCCGCTAGTGTAAAACGAGCGAAAGAAATTAATCTTGTGTCGCTTGGTGATCATTTTCTGTTTCGAAAAGTTTTAACGGATGATTACAAAATGAGAGAAGAAATGATATCAGGCATCGGCAACTACAGGCCAAAAGGGGTAAGGTGTCATTTTTGTTTTATCTTCACCTCTTTATAGCTTTGGGTCATTTCTGATCATTTTGGTCTGTCCATCCTCGCTGTGTTGCCCAAACAAACGGACACAATCAGGATATTACAGTTCAATACTCTGGAGACCTCATCAAGTAACATCACAATTTAGCATTCTAGTATGGAAATATATTTTTTTAATTTTTTAGTTTTTGTTAAAAAAAAACAATTACTTTTTTAAAAAGTAAATTCATTCCTTATTTAAACATTTATTTGGTCATTTCAGGAATTTACACCCATTATCAGCATCTACATTTTTAAAAAAATTTCATTATAGTTTCTTTTAAAAAATAATGACCATTTTGCAACTGTAATTGAACGACCAAATAAATTAATGAATTTATTGAAGTAATTGTTTTAAACAAAAAATTAAAAAAGATAAATTAGTCTTAAATTTCCATGCTATTAACCTATAAGATACTTTTTTAAATTATCAAGGAATTATTTTGCTATATTTAAATTTTCTTCTGGTCAATAACTGGTCAAAAATTGATCCCTCCTACTACTGAACTTTGTAGTTATTATGTACAGGGAGTCCGTTTTAGATGGCCTGGTGAAATTTTTCTTGAACCAATGAAACTATTTAAAAAAAAAAAAAAAAAAACAAGTGTTTATTATTTTTTTGTCTAGTTTCAAATTTTTTACCTTTTTTTGGAGAAAAATTATACAGTTACCTCAGGCCCAGTTGCTAGCAACACGAATAAACATTTTGTGGTTTAATCTGGGGCGATCAGGAATTTCTGGGAATAACTTGACTGCATGACGTGCAATACCACCAATATCCATAAAGCAGTTGTACATATCAACTCACTGTTGATCGGAAAAATGTGCTCTTTGGTTCATTTTTAATGGAATACTGAATGTAACCTATAGGGACTACTGTAAAATTTATTTACTTCCAGGAATTTATATTTGCTCTCATAAAGCAAGTTTGTCAAACGATGACAGAATGTAATGAAAAAAATGCAATTAATGTTTACTTTAGTGAAGAACCAAATTACTGGAATTAACAACGAATCTAACGAAATGTGTTTTTTCAAACCTTTTGTTATAACTTTGTCATTTTTTGTATCAATTTAAAATCCAATTGCACCATTGTTTTCAGCGTACAAATTCCTTTAAAATGATTTGTCAGGATGTGTAGGGTCGTATTTGAAATTTTGAAGTTGATCTGGGCCTGAGGTACCCTGTATAATTTTTCTCCAAAGAAAATGTAAAGATTTGAAACTAGATTAAAAAAATATTAAAAACATATTTTTTTATTTTTCTGGTAGCATCATGCTTGATTCATGATTTTTGTAAATAAAAAAATGTGGGTCTCGGTTGGCCCTGATTTGAACCCACGATCTTTAGACAAATATGCCAATGCTCTACCTATAAAACCTCTATTTAGAAAAAAAGAAAAAAAAAGTAGTTTCTAAGTTGTTAATTTTGATTTATAACAGACTGTGTTTGAAATTGGAAATTCTTCTACTTCTGAAAAATATTTGGTTATGAAATCAAAAAGAAAAGCGCACGAAATGAGAGTAGTAGAATACAAAAAGAAGAAGGAAGACAAAATGGCAGAAAGCATTGGTATGGACATATTATTAAAAACCATCTATAGTTTTTAAAAACAAAATCAAATTTTCATCTAGCTGTTTCAAATATATCTTCTGTAAAACTGGAACTGAGCAACTCTGAGGATATAGGATCAACATTTAGTAAAGTAATTCTAGGGAAAAAAAGCAAGGATGACAGATTGAATCCTTCGAAAAAGTTTAAAACGACTATTGATAAAGAAAATTTCATATCCTACAGACCTTTGGATCAGCACACTGAAGCTGGGTAAATTTATTATTAAATTTTATAATAATGTATGATTTTTAAATATAAATATTTAAAAAAAATTTTAGACTAGCGATTAATAATTTTCAAAAAGACGTTGCATCCGCTGGACTCGAATTAACAGGTGACACTGAATCTGTTATGAAAAGCTCAAAATCCACAAAAGTTTGGGATAAAAAGAAGAAAAGAATGGTGGAAAAGGTGAACGATAAAAAGACGATGATCAAGTCAGAATCGGGTGCGTGGATCCCTGCCAGTTTTAAATCAGGAAGGTACCAACAGTGGGTCGAGAGGAGCAAAGTCAACACCAACCAAGATGAAAGCGACGAAGATGAAAACGCCAATTCGAGTAAGCATTGTCTTTCTATATTACGCCTTTAGCATTGTTTATTTTTACCATTTAAATTTTAGATGTGAGAAGAAAGCAGCCAAACACGCATTGGGCAAAGCATAACAGGAAAATGGAATTGAAGAAAAAATCCCTATTAAAACGTCCAGAGCAAATACTGAAAGCCAGGCAGGCTTTGGAAAAGAAAAAGAACAGGCATGGACGTCATAAAAAGAAAAAAGGAAAATAAATTTTGCTTATCTTGTAAAAACATTTTATCAAAAAAATTATTAAAGCAATAAAATAAATCAAATCTTTTATTATTTTTCCATTAAAAAAATTATTTTGTTTATTATAATTTTTTAATTCAATGGAATTAAAATTTTAACAATGTTTTTAAATGGCACAGGTTTGCTGAAACATTGCTAAATTGTGATGTTTTTATTTTTTAGACCTAGATTTTTATAAAGTTATTTTATGCCATATTTCTAGCCATAGTCAATAAATTGAAACTATTGATTAAATTATTTAATAATTATAGTTTACTTAATTCAAATATAATTTATCCATTGTTTAAATTAATTAAAGATCTCTCGGTAGAAGTCAACCTTGGGAATAAATGTGTGGTGATTAGTGACCGTTAGTCGATGATTATTCGGAAATCTTGAGATGCAGTCTGGTGTGATGTAGATTTCAGAAAAACATTTTCTTTATCGTTTCGATCTTTATTGAGATCATCTTCAGGGCCTGGGATTACAAACATTGTTTAAATTTAACAAATACATTTAGGATGTGGAAAAAAGTGAATTTATACAATGCAAAAAATATATTTTTTATATTCAATCAAAATATTTCTACTCACTCAAAGTGTTTGTTTTCTGCGTAAGTGTGCCATTCTTGCGTGTCGTGTTGAGAGTGCCAGTGAGATATTGCTATTTTATGTTTATATACGTTGGATTGTGAAGGGGTGGGGAAGGAAGTCGGTATAGAAAAGACATTTTTGTATAAGGCGTCGGCTTCTTTGAGGTGAAAAGAGCCGACGAAGGGAAAAAAATGTGTTGGTAATGGTTCGGGCAGATTATCCTTTCTGGATTATATAGAAATTTATTTAGAAATCGTGAGATGCGTCTGGTGTGATGTAGGTTTCAGAAAAACATTTTCTTTATCGTGCCAACGTTTCGATTTTTATTGAGATCATCTTCAGGGCCTGGGATTTACAAACATTGTTTACATATTACATTTTGGGAAGTGGAAAACTGAATTTATACAATGCAAAATATATTTTATATATTCAATCAAAGTGTTTGACTTCTGTGTAATTGTGCCATTCTTACGTGTCGTGTCGAGAGTGCCAGTGAGATTTTGCTATTTTGTGTTTATATACGTTGGATTTTGAAGGGGTGGGGAAGGATGTCGGTATAGAAAAGACATTTTTGTATAAGGCGTCGGCTTCTTTGAGGTGAAAAGAGCCGACGAAGGGAAAAAATGTGTTGGTAATGGTTCGGCCAGATTATCCTTTCAGGATTATATAGAAAGGGATAAATAGGAAAAGGAAAGCTAAATTGTTGGGAAATTAGACTATGTGAAAAATATTTGATGTGTGGAATGTAATGTAATGATATATGTATGTTATCTGTATTGAATTTGATTAATGATATTGGCGTAGCTGCGACTGAGTTTACATGTATCTGTTCTGTAATTGATGCTGTGTTTATCTTTGTTAATATAAACCATTTCTAAAAAGTTACGTTTATGTTTGTTTTGTTCTGTGTGTAATATTTTTGGATTGTTGAAGTCGAAATTGTGTTTGTGTTCAAAATGGTGGGTAGCGAGTGTCGTAGGATTTTGCTTGGGTTGTTTTGCAATCATAGATATGTTGCTTTACCACCCTCTTATGCAGATATTGGGATGTAAGTTGTCGGACAGTTAAACAATTGATTTTGTAGATTACGTCAGATTTATTTGTTACTGGTGTGGGATCTTTAATTTTGGAAAAAAGTATTTGAATTGTTTTATAATTTTTGAAAGCTATTTTAAAGTTATCGGTCGAGAGAAATGTGTTTAATTTATGTGATATGCCGTGAATGAATGGCATGGAAATATATGTTGGTTTGTTTACATAAATTTCCATGCCATTCATTCACGGCCTATCACGTAAATTTATAATTTAATATTATAATATAATTTATAATCACGTCTAAATAATCCTGAAAGGATAATCTGGCCGAACCATTACCAACTTCCCTTCGTCGGCTCTTTTCACCTCAAAGACGCCGACTTCTTATACAAAAATGTCTTTCTATACAGACTTCCTCCCCACCCTTTCAAAATCCAATGTATATAAACATAAAACAGCTATGTCTCACTGGCACTCTCAACACGACACGCAAGAATGGCACACTTACGCAGAAAACAAACACTTTGAGTGAGTAGAAATACTTTGATTGAATATAAAAAATATATTTTTTGCATTGTATAAATTCACTTTTTTCCACATCCTACATATATTTGTTAAATTTAAACAATGTTTGTAAATCCCAAGCCCTGAAGATGATCTCAATAAAGATCGAAACGTTGGCACGATAAAGAAAATGTTTTTCTGAAACCTACATCACACCAGACCGCATCTCACGATTTCCATATAATCTTGGGAATAAAGTGAAAATAAATTATTAATAAATGAAATGCAGAAAATAAAAAATTTATTGTAAATTACACATTTTCATTATTCTTTCTTTTTACACCCTTTTCTACACTTTTAGTTTTTCTTAATTCATCCACATGCTGCTGGTATCTTTTTCTGAATGGTTCGTCCTCCTCTACTTTCAAGATATCATCATCCTTTGTAAAAAAAAGCAAAAAATAAGAACAGGTAAATTTTTCTATACAAATTTTACAATACCTTTGGTTCACATATTTTCTCGTAAGTGAGCAATCGCCTTGACGCTGTGGTCGAAAGAATCTGTTCGGAATTTCCGACAAGTTTCAGACAAGAGTGTTGAGGCAATTTGTTTTCTTCATATTCACACCTGTTACATAAAATGCAAATAAGTCTACAATCCCTCAATGGGTTAAAAACAAACTGTAAAACCACCTAATGACCGGAAGCCATGTAACTAATCTGCCACCCATTTTCAAATGTTTAACCGAAAATAACAAAAGGTCAGAAATAAGTTCGGTGAGACTGTACTGAATTTTGCTTGGGATGTGAGTTTTTAAGTGAACATCGCTTATTTTTTTGTCGTCCCTTGTACTCCCAACTCTTTCCATTGCTTCTCGCACTCCGTACGGTGCTTAATTGTTTGAAACAAAGATTAGAATATTGGAAAATATTTAAAATAAATTTTGTTAAGAATTAGAATGTGTTTTATTAATGAAAGTAAGAAAGGCAATATATTACGGTATAAGGCATTTAAACAAAGAGTCAAAAGTTTATTGGACAATTAATTCACTTACGGTCAGTAATAATGGCGTCTAATGTAAATTGTGGCTTCCACAAAGGCAATGATGAATCTGCAACGACAACATCAAGATACTGGCTTTGTAAATTATACTGCACCATATTTTGATAAATGCTTTCATCAACTCTTGGTTTGTGCTAGAAATGTACAAAAATGCAATTCACCTTAAGATTACCCACGTGATTTTTTTTATTGTAAATTTTTTATTTTTTATTTTAACTATTTCAGTGTTAGTAAAATACCCGATCCTGTTTCCTTGTTGGCCTCGATTTACCATGAATCATCAGATAATCTATATCCGCTCCAAGAACATACCCACCAAATTGAGCAGCAGATATTAACAGAGATCCTTTGAAAAAAAAAAAAAGAAAAAAAAAGTTACTTCTAACCAAGTACATAAAAAATACATAGCATTAAAAAAATATAAGTTATTGTTTTCCAAGGTATTAATTTACAATACCTGTTCCAACAAATGGATCTAGTATTATATCCCCTTTTTTAACAAGTGCTTGGTTCGCCATAACGAACGATAATTGTGGATCCATGCTTGTATTGCCAATAAATTTTCTCTTTTTCAGTGAAAAATCAGTTATTAAGGATCTGTTACTGTCAGTTACCTACAAGTTAAAAAATACATTAGCAGTCTTAATTTACTGAGTTATTAATATTACTAGAATTGTTACGATGTCATTATTCATGATATTCTACTAGTTTGAGCTGTATACAAAGTTTGAGAGCAATAAATACCATATTTGTTGATGTATGACTAATTAGTTGATCATTAATGATGTTTATTTTGAACTCTTACTGCAGAGTTAGCTTTTTTAAATTAATTTTTAATACACATCACAGAAGAAAGCCTATTTTAATTTGTAAAATTATTTTTTCATTTGTTTGTCAACAGTGGGCAAAGTCAATCATTTTACTTCATTTTGTGTAATAGAAGGAGGAATTATCTATTATGAACACATGTTGGCTAGTGGAAAAGATATGTCTGTTAATTAATAGAAATGTTACAGTAAAAAAAATGTTCTAGTAGCTCATAGGTAAATAGCTTTCAATAAAAAAAGTAATAAAGTAAGTGAAATAAAAAACTTACAATTCGCCCAAAAAAGAAGTTCAAGGGTATGTCGGAAATTTTATTTGGATTTAACCCAAAATATTCTATATACTGCAAGGCAACATCGGGGTTCTTCAGCTTGACCGGTCCAGCAAGAGGAAGATAATTAAACGACTAAATTAAAAAAAATATATAAATATATATTTACCCACCCTTTTCAAAATATTAAATAAATACCAGCAATACCTCGATTCTTTCTATTTTCTCTTGTTGTGTCTGAGAACTTCCGAATACCTCGACTTTCACTTTGAAAGACACGTTCGGATTAGAATAAGGCATGAAAAACTGGTCCGGAAGTTCTTTCAGTTTCTTATGCAATTCGTCCTTCGTCTTCGCTTCACTCCACAGTTCGACAATGCATCTCATCAAAACTGAACGCTTTGCAATTTGTTTAATGTTTTCTTCTAAATTCGTTTCAACGATCATAAACGGCTATAGAAATAATACAAAATTAAAAATAACGATGATGTGTGATTGCTTTATTTTTTAAAAGTAAATCAGTGAAAAAATATTTGTATGTGTGTATAAAGTAATTTATTTATTTTATTTTATTTGGCAAAAATGGCAATTGATAATTGTTGATATTAATTTTAAAATAAACCAACAGATTTAATTTGTACATACAAAAGTTGTTAGTAAAAATGCAATTTATGTGTCAGACTAACAAAAAACTATATTTTCTAGGTATTTATTTAAATAAAAATATATGAAGCTATTTGTGAAAATACAGGCTGTTCTACACCCCGAGGAATATTGAATACTCTGGGGGAGTGACTATGCGCTGATGTATATATATGTATTTTATGTTTTGTGTAGTTGACAGCCTGAGGGGAAAATGAGAGGCTAGCATTTTAGGATATCGACTTAGTTTTCACACAAATGAAGAGATTCAGTAGCCAAATGACTGCAGGATGAAAAATACAAGAGAAAGACCAGAAAAAGAAGTAAAACTTGCAAATGGCTGGCTATGTCTTGTTTTCGGCCCCTGAACTACTTACATTATTATTATTTTATTTATTTTTTAATGGTGGGCTACCGACAGTGAGGTCAGGTCCCCACCCCAATTCACTGTGTATTATTATTACAGGCTGTGATTTTCATTTGACCATACACAACTTAGGCCAAAATTTAAAAGACTCTTCAGCAACCCTCTTGAAGTCACAAACCTGACATAATCATTTTTGAATTCTTTAATATTAAAATTTTGACCTATTAAAAGAGATTTGAGGACTGGTAAAGGAAGTCTATCTGAGATGAGAAGATAGAGCTGATACAAAATGGAGCAAAGTGGCACCTAGGAAGTTCTTTCAAGAATATCTTTCTGTCTTACAGGAGCACTTAATATCCAACTATCCATTGGTATAGTGGACTAAGTGTCAAACCACTTTACAATACATTTTGCTAACCCTTTTGTATTAAAAAACCCATACGTTATGCCAGGATTTGAACACAGGACTATTAGCGTGGCAAGTATTATGAGTCTGACACCCTAGCCATTCAGCTATAGTCCCCCATAGCATTAATTAGATTGGATAGATCAACTTGGATAGGTAAAACAAAGGAGCACAAATTTAAAAAAAAAATTGTTTGAGTTCGTAAACCTCTTTCCTTTCTGTGGAAAGTGGTGACAAGCTTTATTTCACTGTGTTACAGTTGTTGAAATGGATCAAAGTTCAAATATATGTGAACTTTTTAAAAAAATCTTTTAGTTCTTTCCAGTATTTGATTTTTTAAAAATATTTTCATGAAAACATTCTGAAATTTGGACATTTTCAATTGTTTTTGTCATTGCTGAGTTGGTCTGTGAGACAAACTGAAGATGGCAAACACATTAATACTAAATAACAGTAAAGAAAATAAATAAATTCTACACAGATGCACTGAATACGATTTATGAAAAGGTGGATAAGTTAGATGTTGTGAGGTCATATTGAGTCAACACCTACTGGTGATTGTGTTGTTTTAAAAATCCAAAGGTGTGGCCTACCTTCAGATGAAAAAAAACAAAATTAATGCACTGCAGTGATTATCAGGAAAACTTATTTGAGAAAGATGAATGCATATAACCTAATATAATTTGCCGAATGTTGCTTGAATGAGTTTGCACAAAATCAGGCCTCTTGATGAAATATCCAAATAATTCGACAGCTTGAGATCTTAGTTATTGGTGTGTACGAATGAGGAGAGGCCATTGGAGGAATATTGAGTACCCTGATGGCCCTTTATGTCAATTGTAAATAGTTTTGTACGTATGTCTTTATTTGTGTGAAAAATTGATAAATAATTATCTGCGAGAATGATGATGTATGCATGGGTTTGCAAGGTGCTTTAGGCTATAGGTTTTCGTGTAAATAAAGATCGGTTACCATTGATAGCCTGTCATGTAGTAGCTTGTTTTTTGTATGAATGATAAATTGATGCAAAAATTTATGTGAAAGGTGCAAGGGTACCAGGTCTAAAAACAAAAAATGCAGATGAGTGAAAAAACATGAATAAGAGCCAACAAAGAACTTGCTGTTTGTCAGGAAAAAACCCATTAACAAATAACTACTATCATTCATATTCTCTGACAAAAATATCATACTTTTGTTACAACCCAGTAATTTAAGCAAAAAGCACTTCAAAACTACAAAAAGCTTTTAAATAATTACATTTAAATGTCGAGTACTACATTCTTTACTTTGATGTTGCTTTTTATGTTTTTTTTTTCCATAAAAATAATTTTTATGTATACAATTATGGAAAAAGTTAGAAAATAAGGGTATAAATACTGCTTACATCTTCCTCAGGAGTACAGTCCCATTTTAAATCAATGTTTAACAATTTCGTGATTGATTTAATTTCCTGTAAAATATGACATATCACTCTAAAAGCATATATTCTCCTAAGATAAAAACAAATCAACAAAAAGAAATAATTTATTTTGATAAAATATAAAATATTCAATTTTTTTCTATATTTATTAGGAGCAAACATCACTTACGTCGAACCTAAAGTTTGCATGCTCGTTAGCAAACCAAAGCAAATATCTTTTAAAAGGCAATTTATTCACCATAACTTTGGCTTCTACAGTTTCAATTATTGTAATTTAATCTTAACAAATAAACAATTAAACCTATATGCTTTGGATGATTAAACATCACCGAATAAACGCATAATTTATAGACGTTTGCGATATTTTAAAATTATTTACATTTCATGGAAAGCACATTTGTCTTAAAAAACACACGGCGGAAGGTAACCGTGCGGTTATCTCTAGGTGAACACGTCCCCTTAGATCAGTCAAGGTCAGTGCTATATCGTCATAATTTGGAAATATCAAAAAAGTGGATATTGAGACTAAATTATTTTTTGATCCTCAGCCACTGTATCGGTACCAAAAGGTATTGTTTTAAAAATGATATAAACATGATGGAATGATCAATATAAATTCAATAAAATTTTTGTTCCTCTTAAATTATCTCAAACCGTTGTGGAGCCTATCTTTTTTAAAGATAATTCGTACTCCTGGTGGTTAGGGATGGTTAGGTATGGTCCTTAAATTCAGAATGTATTTAAGCTTTAAGATAGAAATCCGGATATGTGAAAACAACAAACTGTGAGAAAGAACTATCTTTTAAAAGAGATTAAACAACAATGTCACTCCATCTTAATCATTTCTATTGTGGAACGTATGTATTAAGTCAGATTTAGTTTTACTTTTACAGTTTCAATGTTACTCGTAAATAAAGGCTTGGAATGATAAAACATCACTGAATAATTGCATTATTTATAGATGTTTACGATATTTTTAAAAAGTTTGTATTTCATGGAGTGCACTTTGTCAAATTGAGATTGAGAGAGGAAGCCAACATACGGAGAAGTATGTATACGGTTGCCTTTGGGTTCGTCTCTGCTCGCTGGTTTGTTGAATCCTCAAACGCGTTTCAATATTGCGCCATCTTCACTGAGGTACTCAACTTCTTCGACCGAAACGCGTTTGTGTAGTTCAACAAACTCGCGAGTGATGACAGACCCAATAAGTGACTCAGTCACGTCCATCTGAGGAGTTACTTTCTTTGCTGGACGTTACAAACTGTAGATCAATTTGTCTAACTAACGATGTTCCACAGAATATCTTGGTTATCTCCTTTATTTGATATATAAGCAGTCTGATTCGTTTCAATTCTTGTTTTTGCTTATCTTTTTCTAAATTTTACGATTGATTATATTAAATTATCCATTGTAAAATTTGTTAAGATGTGTTGAACTTGCTGTTTGAATACCGATCATACTGGTTGGCCCATTATCGCTGGTTTGTAACTAGATGCATTTAGGCATAATGCCATTTTCAGTGATTTGACACCTCTTATTTCCACCCACTTTACCTATCTAAAGCATGAAAGGACACAATAAAAAAAATTACAGACCTACTAGTGAGGTGGCGAAATGCCGAGATGCGTCTGACAAGCTAACCACTGTGATCATGGATGGTTGGAGACGATAAACTTCATATTAATAATTTATTTTGATATTTATATTATTTTATTGGTGATGGTGATGAGGATGCTAGGAAGCGGGGTTTGTGGTTGGGCTCCCCAGGCACTGCAGACTTCTAGCTTATTATACCTAGTTTCTTAGTATAGGTATAGTTCCCAATTATAGGTTCAGGGCCTATATATGGTCTTGTACATCCTCCTTTGGCCAGTGTGTCTGCTTTTTCGTTAGCCAAAATTCTTTAGTGACCTGACACCCAAAATATTATCAGGTTGTTGTGCTTACCCAGGTTTTTGAGATTTTCGATGCATTCATGCAGCACTGACTAATTTTGACATGATTTTTTTACATGCTAATGCTTTAATGCTTGGCTATTCGATCTTATGAGGACTTTTTTGTCAGTGTAACCTTATTATAATAATAATAGATACAAAAATCTACTGGTTTTTTTTAATGATCTGACATTTGCGAAGCTTTGTCCTGGTATTCTTGCCCTTGCTTCTCTATACCGTTGGTTAATTCTACTTGAATACGACTTCTTGAAAAGTTCAGGCGTTCACGTGTTGCCCTACAAAAGAATTTAGCCTGTCTTGTCATGCTAATGAAAATAATCTTGTCTAGGGTGGTGATGCTTTAAACTTTAAATCATTGGTGTCATTATACGTTTTCCGTGCCTGTGAATTTTATCAAATTTATGGGCTTTGACTATCGTACGGTGCTCACTTTCACCTATAAATAGCGACATGTCTATTTGTCGTCATAGATTTAATAAGTGTAATAAATATACATTTATCACCACTAAAAGTTCGTTGGATTTGATAATACCTTACCTAATTGGTCATTCTTTACTTAAATGGCCAAGTAGGACGACTTTGCTACAAATGTTTTTTTTCGATTCAGTAATCCAGATAATTTTCTCTAGATAGTTGAATTTGGGAATAGCATTTGCTTTTTCCGTTTAGTTTGTACCAATTAAAAATGTAATTTTTTTACTAAATAATTACTAATTATCGTGCGTTCATTTGTGGGAAGAAAAACCTTATTGACCAGCCAAAATAGATTTTCTGTTGCCAACGAAAGAATGCACTGCCCATCAAGTAAACACAATTAATGAGAATAATTACTTAGACGTAAACAAACAGTTTATAAACACCCAAAAGTTCAATGACCCGAAACCCCGTTGTTTAAGTAAAAATACTTTTTCCTAAAATACTTATCTCAGTAAGTCCGAAATTTCACAAATACGGTTTAATTTTTTACCCTGGATGAATTTATTGTACACTGATGGACAAAATTATCGCACAACCCTTACATATTTATTGTATTTAGTTTATTAATATTTTAGAAATACTTTTTTCTAAAATACAACCCAATAAGTCCGAAATTTCACAAATATGGTTTAACTTTTTTACACTGGATGAATTTATTATACCCTGATGGACAAAATTAACGCCTCACCCTTAAATTTTTAGTGTATTTAGGTTTATTAATATTTTTCGTACCAAAATAGGTTTGGTTGTAAAAATAAGACATTTAAAAAGAAAATGTTTACTACCTAATTCTAAAAAAATATATATAACTAAAAATTATTGAGTAAAGAAACACAAAAATTCAAAAACAAACAAAAATGTAAAATAAAACTTTTGGTCCCCTTTGATAAAGAGTATTTCCACGCCTGGCACGGATCACGTCCGTTAATCGCCATTACATTCCCTGGAAAAGATTTCTGGTAAAATCTTTAGGAATTCTTTCCCATCCATAAAAAAAAAACGTTTCTATCACTCCTACGGTGTTAGGGCCTGGGTTTCACCGACGTATTCGATGTTTAAGTTGGTCCCAAATGTCTTCGATTGAGTTCAAATATGGACCAAGTACTCAATTCCAACTTCATTCAGGTAGTGATCCACAATACGTGCTCTACGGAGCTGGCATTATCCTGCATTAGGAAGATTCTGTCACCGATGTGTAGGGCAAACGGCACTGTATATTTTCGATTATGTCTTTAAGCACCTCTGTGAAGTGACAGGTCTTCCTCTGACAACAACCAATTCGATGCGGGCCACCCCAAATTATCAATGACCAACCGTGGCATGCCACCTGAGGAACCATACAGCATCGAGCTACCCTTCTTCTGAGTGTCTCTGATATGAACTTACCAAAAAATTTGAGGCCAACTCTCACCTCACTTGCAAAGAGAACTCGTCCCCAATCTTCCGATCACAAGGTCCTGTGCGAATTGAACCCTGGCCATTTTCTTAGCTGTGCTAAGAGGTCCACGAACCGAGCAGCGGGCCCTGAGGTTATTTTCATTGAGCCTTCTTACAGTCCTGGAGGAAATAGAAATATTTCCTTCTTGTCTTATCAGATTTATCTAATTTACCGCAATGCTGCGGGATTGTAGGGCCTGATGGATGAATCTATCGTCTCTCTCGTCCGTAGACCTAGGTCGACTTGTCCTGGCCTTCCGCGCCGAAGAACACTTCCTATTGAAGAATGGTTTACACAACCGGCGCTGTCACACTCATTCAAATGCCTAACGGGAGCCATTGAAAATGGATTAAGAATAAGAATAATATCAAATGAAAGCAATAAAGAAAAATGATTAAATGAAAGAGATCTTTAGGCGTAGTAGAACGCAGGCATAATGATACTTTTTGTGCATATGGTTTTAATCATTACAAAAGTAAATAAAGGAAGTATACCATTATTTAATGTTTATTTTGACAACTCCTAAGTAATGTAGAAAGATAGTGGATTTAATTTTAATCTAAATAAATTGAGTGGTTGTGAAATTTGTCCATCAGTGTAGTATGTTCATATATGAATTATGAAAATAAACCTGACGCATTCCGTCAGAATGTTGGTATAAAAAAGAAAAAGAAGTCAAAATTTCCCCATTTTGTATTTTATATAAGGGTTTTGTAAAATCAACTTTTTTTAAAGTAGCTTTCTTAATGAAGTTCGTTTACAGAAAACCTTTTGCATGTTTAGAACTAGTTTTAAGCACGTCGAACCATTGTTTTAAGTGTAAAATCTGTAAATATTTGTACAAAAATACATTTACTATGATCCACATACAGAACCTAGGATATAAAACAATAAATAAACGGCAGGTTTGTCGCGAATACCGTGTAACGAATTTAATTTGATACGCAATGTTGCCCTTGGGCCACGCTCAATGAACTTTTTTGTTATTACATTCTTTTGCCACGTTATCGAAGCAATTCTCTTCAATATAATTTTATGTCTTGCTTTTGTGAAAAAGTTTTGCTGTTCGTTCAGAAAACAATCGAGTGGTGTATATCTGCTACTAAGGCGATATCCAGTTTTGTTCAAGAAAAAAAGCAGTAAAACCCTATGGGAATTTGCTTTAGAGATCGATGTGCTTCAAAGCTCAACCATAAGATAGGCTTCTTTGCTGTTCACTTTTCATCAGAGACTTTTTAGGCTTTCTTGTCAGAACGAAACAAAGATTAATAAACTCTTTTAAATGATCGAATGGAAGGAAAATGTATTCCAGGATTGAGTAGGAAATGGACAGTTGCAGAAATTCAGAACTGTTAAACCTAAGACGCGTTAAGACTGCATACTTTAAACCCCGGAGGCATATGTGACTTCGTTGCGGCAGAAACAAACCTGTGCAGATATTACCAGGAAGAAGAAAAAATAGTGGTCATGTCCTCTTATGGTGTGATGACCAGGCTGAGATTACTATTCGTGGGAGAGGAAAAAACCAAGCCCTTTAGGAAACACGAGTGCCCAAAACAAAGCTTTGAAATCTGGTAAAATGCCGTAAACTCAACGTAGCTCTACTGTGCTCAGCAGTCAGCAGTACAGAAGTCTTGTAATGGAGAATGCACAATAGACCATTACTGATCGTAAATAGGCAGATTTCTTTTAACTTTGATTTTAACCTGAGGATGGGAAAAAGGATGTTTCAAAGTACAAGGATATGAGCTATAAGGCAGGCAAAAGCATAATGAGAACCATTAAATAAACTGTAATTTTATTTCATATTCCAACTAGACTTTCTTGTTCTTCAAAAGTGGTTGTTCTCTTTTTCAACAACATAGGTAATACCAAGTTTATTATCAACAAGTGGTTTCTAAAACCTAGGATTGTGTGTGACGTGTAAAGCAACAAGAATATTTAAAAAGCAAAAAAACTATCGGTTTGAAATCTTGTAGGTGTTTAGACTTTATTAGAAGAAAAACGCACGTTTCGTTTAAAACGCGACAATTTTCTCTTTAGAGTTAATGACAATAAACTATTTTCCAGACCACTCACCACACAAGGTGATGAATAGTAGGAAGAAAATGTTGTTAAGTAAAAGTTAGTAACGAAAAAGAACAAATAGAAATAATATCAGTTCGATTAAATTCCTTCCATTATTTTTCTTCTGTACTGCCTTTCAGATTATTTGTATTTTATATATATTTTATGTTGTTTATATAATTTTAATCTTTATTTTTTGGTATTTAATCAACAACATTGTGAGATATCTACAGTTCTTTCTCAATTTTAATGAGCTCGGCGATACCGTCGTGCATCTCCTTGACGGCCTGGTATTCAGTGAGACCCATCCTCCTTTTGTTGGAAATATCGTAAACTCCGCCCTCAGCTTCTGTGTGCTCGCCACGAGTACCACGGACCTTCAAATAAAAGTTGAAATGTTAAGAAAAATAATACGCAAAAGAAGTCGATTTTGCAAACTATGAATAGCAAGATTGTAATATTTATCCGTGGTTACTTTCGAATATTATTTACAGTTTGTGAAATCGGTAAAATTTATACCTGAAGGTTAAATTTAGCGGCGACTTCTTCCAATTTGGTTTTGTTGGCAGCGAGTTTCGGGACCTTGATGTGGACAGAGGCTCTGACAGTGGTTCCGAGGTTGCTGGGGCAGAAAGTCAAGAAGCCGAGTCTGTCATTGTGAGAGAAGGGGACACGCTTTTCGACGTCGTTTACAGCGGTGACGAGACGTCTGTAAACCTGGCCGAGATCGCCTCCCATCTGCATGGAGATGAGCCTGAGGTGGTCCTCCTCGTTGCACCAGACCAAGAATGTCTTGTTGTCGTTGTGGTAGATACCACGACCGGTGGGCCAGAACCTGCAGGCATTGGCCGCCTGCAAAAACCTGTCTCCCTCCTTGAAGAGGAAGTGGTCGTCGATAAGCTTCTGCTGCACCTCCTTGGTCATACCGGTCAACGGATAGTAGGTGCCTTTCAGTTCGTCGGTCAAACCGGAAAGAGTGGAGGAGACCTTCTCTTCCATCTCCTTGTATTGAGCCTCAGTGAGGCAAGGGTTGAAGGGGTAGCCTTCCATTGATCTACCACACCTCACACGGGTAGAAATGACGTATTCGCCCTGAACAAAATTAATTTAATATTTTTGTGTTTAAATCTTTCTACACACTTTTGATAGAATTTTAACGTACAGTGGGGTCAAGGTTTCCGAGGGAATCGACATCGCCCCAATCCTTGGCGGGGTGCTTGTCGGTCTTCTTGAACCCACCGTGGTAGTCCTCGATGATGGGGTCAAAGAGGTCGGCAAAAACGGTGTAAGCTTCGGCATCCGGGGCATAGATACCTACGCCAGAATCGTGGTTCTCAAATCCTGAAAGCAAAAATTTATATTAAAACAAAACAAGATTTACTCGGTCATTCTAATTAGATAAAACTACATCCCGTCTAGTGAGGCGATAGGTGGGCACAAGCTAGTGGGTATGTACTTGGGGGGGGGTGGTATGTACTTGGTTTGAGTACTGAGTTCAGACGGTGACAAAGCGAGACGCGCCAGTCTGGGTTCAAATATACGCGAAGAAAACTTTTAGGAAGGAACACACGGACTAGGTGGTCATTAGGCATAATGGGTGTAACGAAGCCTAACAAGCTGTTAAACAAAAAATGCCGTTTTTGTTAGTGCAACATCAGAGAACTTGACACTAGTCATACAATAGTTTTCAGTTGCTAATTGTTAAAAGAAAATATCTCGATACCTGGGTCCTGCATTCGAAGGAACGACAACACCAAGCCATTTTAATTAAAAATTATCAGCAATTTCTTAGGAACATTAAAGCATACGACGAAAAATTGATGATTGAATCCTATCAGGTTAGTGGTCAGATGAAAATCAATCTCTTCGTTACCTGGTGGGAATCTTAATCGGAATAATTAACGGTGAAAATGTGGTGGTTTGAAGTTGACTACATCCACTTTTATTTATTGGGGGGACAATCAATTCAATAACGTACTGCCAATGAAATTGATCAAATACATCAAAATTTGATCAAAACCTCGTGTTTCAATACTGACAGATCTTAAAAAACGAACTAGTCTATGAAATCCTCGACCATCTCCCAGACTAGCAGTTTTTCGTAAACCAAAGCGTAACCTTGAAAGAGTTGGCTAGTTTTTTTATGAAAGGCAAAAAATTACCGTGCTACTGTCGAGTCTGCTGTTTGTTCAGAATTAGCATAGTTGTGCAGCAAAACCTCCAATTTAGCACACTTAACACGATTAGTATAATTTGCATGAATATCCTAATTATCCTATTTCTTTTTTTAAGTTATTCAACTCAATTGACAATATAAAAGAGATCATTTCGAATGAAAATGTTTTCAAAAAATAAAATATAATATAAATGTTTCTGTTTTTTTGTAAGATCGACAAATTTATAGATATGTCATTCATAGTTCGTAAGTGTTTACATAAATCGGATAAACGATACAAAAACAAATTATAAATCATATTAAAATATAAAAGGAAGAATTGCGCTTATTTATTATTAAAGTCACCTTTATGCTATCATTAAGCTGGAATAATAAAGACGACTGGAGTAAATTCACACTAGAATATCTTAATTATTTTGTTTATGAATATTTTGACACATCAAAGAAGTCGTAACGGGGTCAGATATCGATCGAAACCCTTGTATCATTGAATCAATCATTCACAAAATTGTAGAAGTGAGGATGTTATGGAATAGAAAATAAGGCTCCCCACTAAATATACCACGTTAGAGGAATCAGCTCGCTTAAATAATTGAAACACACGAACGAGACTCCATGAATATTGAACATCTGATGTAATGCTTTTGCGGTAGATATTTGGCGTAGACAATGCATGTTTCAACATGTCATGTCAAACCGAACTTAGGCGAATATTCATGTTTTTCAGTATTGAAGTGAATCAATTGTAACAGACGTCGTCACGAACGGTGACACAGATCTCGGACGACGTAACTCGTACTCTGCACATTTCCCAAAGTGAATTAAGATCATCCGAGCTGACCGATTTTCACAAAAGGGAAACATTTCTCAACACGGAAAATGAATAACGAAAACGTTGTTTGTCAGCAAAGAAGCTCAAATTTCAAACTGTTTGTTCTCGAGTCTGACCCACTACCATTTTTAGAATGGGATCTGGCTGAAAATTACGGAACTGCAATGGCAATTTAGAATCAGTACAGTCCATTACCACTTTTTTTGTGAACGTCGAACCCACATCCTTTGCTCATCAAATAAATAAAGTAACTTGGTGGAAAATCCACATCCTCGGAAGAGGATAGTCCATTATCAACAGTATAGACAATGCAAGACGTACTGCATCACCTTCCGAGATGTGTCAAGTGCGGTGATATGCACAAGAGTGCAGTGTGCCAAAAGAACCTTGATGTCTCAGCAGTCTACCGTTCTATAACCAACTGCAAGGTATAAACAGCTCGTCTGACGCAGCCGCATAGACAACCCCCTCCCAATATTTAATATCCGGAACCCCAGACATCCTGCTGGACCAGTCTAGCCTGGTACAACCTATGCACAGATAGCCTGTCGCACTGAGCCCTGCCATCAACAGTACCCTGCTCAACACCAACAATCCTATCTCCTGAACATGTCATACATCACATCACCCTCTTCCCTCTTCTAGATCTTCAGTCAATCATAATTTACTTCTTCACTGAATTTAAAATTTGTATTGCCCTCTTATTTCCCTTCTCACCATAATCGTTACAAAACTGATTCGCTCTCCACCAACGCGATCTCTCCTATGAATGATCCATCCTACTTTGGAATGTACACGGTGTCCACACACATACTGACGAACTGACGGTACTACTAAATGATGGAAAAGTGCATTGCACTACTAACAGAAACTCAACTGACGAAACGCAAACACTTGCACATAACACGATACGAAACGTACAGAACTGACCACCATGGAGGCAGCCTTCCACAACACCCTATCACACCACATCATTCCTACGAAGTACAGCTGCTTCGGTGTACTTTCATTCCATTTCAGTATACTGCCCATTCAATTAAACAATAATGCTGAACAAGATTGCTCACTGGTGGAGAACAACTAAGTTTTGGATGTTTTATAAACTAATGGTTAGAAGTAGTTTTGGATAATCATTAATGTAACATACAAATAACAAGCACCTGCGTATAACAACATAAAACAAGCTTTTTGCATTACCTTATAATTTACAAAATTATGATGTAAAAAAACAGTTTGACCCGATATTACAAGAAATATAACTTATTTAGTTCAGAGTCGATCGATATCCATCTTCCAGGCCGACAGTACAGAATTGACAATAATTTGTCGGCTCGCGTGTTTTACCATTATTTAGTTAACTTTTTCATTTGGTATCTGTCAATCTTAAACAAACCTCGCAATAACCGGTTGGTAGATGTAAAAGTAACAAAAACGAAGGCAGGAAGATGTGACGGCATTATTATAAACAATGAATTTAAATTAATAGTTAACAGTCGTTCACTACCAATAGTAACGTCAACGAGCCAAGGTCTGAAGGTTTGTTTTAATAAACGTAGACTTACCAGATTGTACGACGTCAAGGAGGGTAGAACCGAATGAGGGAGTCTTCAAGTTCTTAAGCCTGTCGAAGACCTCTCTCGTCAGGTACTTCTTGAGGAGAGATTTGCTGTCGGAAGCCTCTAACTTCTTAAAGCCAGCTTCAAGCTTGTCCAAAACAGCGGCGTCTACCATTTTGTCTTTTCTGAAACATGAAAAAGAGGAAATTACTTCACGATATATCTATGGGTCGCTTTATGCTTTAAACTCTAATTTTATTTTTTGTATCGGAAATTTTTAGCTAGTTGGAAGGAGTTGTCTTTTGGGTGGAGACTACTGGTTGAAATCGCGTGTACAGTAGACCAACAGCGAGGAAAGGCGGACCATAGTTGACCTTTGATCGAACCGCTATCCTTGTATTCTCGCAATCCTTCGTGGGATAAAAGTCTTACCTTTCTTTTACGTGAAACTGAAGGCATTCTGTCCCAGTAGGATCCAAGCTTACTGCAGATTCAGCTTCCATTTTGTCTGTTGACATTTTTAAATTTTGTTTCGTGTTATGTCTTTTATCTTGTGATTGTGAGCACTTGAAGAAATAGAATCACATGTTTTACGGACGACGTTCTTTTTCAAATATTATTGAGACAAATCCTGTTTGGACAAGCTCACGTGTTGAGAGGCTAAAATGAGGAACTGCTTCCTCGGCATTATTAAAGAAATGGGAATTTAATCAAGGGCTGACGGGGCTGAAAATGAAATCGGAAATTGAATCAGCTTCGAAGGAAACGGGTCCGGTTCATGAAAATGAATTGTGTTTGTTCAAGACATCCCCTAGCCGGATGAGTAACGAAGACAAGTGCCCGGACAGAATTGAGTTTAAATTGTGGTCCTATTAACTCCGTCAATTAAAGTTGGGCTCATTGGAACTAGACAAACAGTTCAAACAGAGTTAGAACAACATCTATTTATAAGATCCACCTTTCCCGGGCAGCATCTCGTAAACTTGAAGCGTTCCTATCAAGGAGGAACTTGTTAATTTTAGGCCGAGATTATCAGGGTTATTTATGGAATCACGAAGGCAGCATTATATAGCACATACAGCCATGAAGTAATCCTAAAAGGGGTTTTAAACTATTTCAGTATTCCAGTAACAACTATGTACTTAGTAATTAATTACTCAAGTTAAGTTCAGTATGTACTAAATAGGATCTTGTACTATTTCCAAGAATTCTCCTTGGAATCAAAAACTATCTAAAATTGAGTGCTCCTTAATCATAAACTCAATAAAATGATGTAATTATACACATCAAGCACTAATGATTTGACGATCAGCAACTTGAACCAGTATAAAAAAGTGCATGCTGCGTCAAAAAGGCGTGTTCAAATCACAAAAGGTCTTCGATTTAATTGGATAATGCAACCTTCTCCGGCGAAATTCTCCGCAGAGTTAAGGAAGGTCGTAATAAGGATGTCCTTATTTTCTCTCAGCGGTGCCAGTACAGTCTTGAGCGAAATTGTAAAGAAGAAATTGATCTCCCATGAGCGTGGAGCACATTTCGATCATTTTTTTTAATCTACCTGATAATTTACAACAATAAAAGAAATGACTGTTTGCTTTCCAGATAAGTGATTACAAAAGGTAAATCAATAAACTTCCGTTTTCAAATGATTCACACACTGTTGAATTTATCCGGTTACAAAGCGCAATCAACTTCTAAGCTCCCATGTTCCCAAAGCCGATTAATGTTGCTGCAACTTTTTCCCTAATTACTTTTTTTTCATATGCTTTGGGCGATGCTAAATTTAAAGTTTTGAAGGCAGACAGAGCCAAATCTTCGCCAAGTTTTTGGCTCGCTCCCTTTCTATTCCTGCCCTTTGACCGGCATTCAACATTATTTATATTTTCAGAAGAAAATAAATGAAAAAAGAAAAAGAAAGCCAGTAACTCAAAGATAAAAAATTCGCTATATTTAATTGCGTACGTCTATTTTTGTTTGTTCCCACGGAACTCAAATTTAGTTTTGATAAATAGTAGCATTTTTTAATACTGTTCCAATGCAAATAAACTCCATTAAATTTATGTTAAAAATTAGAAAACTGTAATAAGATTTTTACTTTACGATTATTTACTTTATCAAATGCTGTAACTTGTTGTAACTGGAATTTTATACCATTCAATAACATTTGTGTTTAATGAACAACCTTCAAAGGACTCCTCAGATCTTATTGTTAGTTCTTTTACAGTATTCTTTAAATTTATTAAGAAATTTTCTTGTGATATAACTCTCATATACAAAAATAGAAATGTTTCTTAAATTTTGCTAGAAAAAATACATATAACTGTTGCCTTAATATAAATAAAGGGCAATGGGTGCATACCTGCCCCACTACAGCAATGCAAACCGCACTCGACCTTCCACCCTTAAATATTTTATGTGAATAACGTAGCTTTTGGGAGTGCCAACTGACAGAGATACAAGGAAATACAGCCAGATTTAAGGAGGAGCCATTACAAAATTCTGGAGATACGTGTACCTGACAAAATTAGGGAAAACTCAACTCAGACAGACCCTTTCCAAGTGGTCGTAACTAATAGCAGTGACCTTTAGAAGAGTTTCAGAAAGGGGCCCTAATATGGTACACGGATGGATCGAATGGATGGAACAGGGAATAAGATTTGGGATGAAAGGGCCTATACCCCAGCAAAGGCCATGGATATCCCAATTATTTTCCAATCTAAGGACCATCTCATACAACTCTCTGCATTGGAATAAAGAAAAATCTGAAAGGTGCAGATTTACATATAAGTCAGACATCTATAAAAGAATTCAATCCTTTCAACTCCAAACTTGCTGGGAGGGACTAAATTGCCTACTGACACTGGAAAAGCAAAACAAGATCACCTTAAAGTAGGTTCCCGGACGTGAAGGCGTAGAAGGAAATGATCAAGCAGCCCTCTTACCCACGGGAAAAGAACCACAACTAGGTGCACCGGAGTGTGTGCTTAAGTTGGAACTGGAACAATAGCTTGAGAAAGAAAAACTCAAGCATTGGACAAAAGTACCTATGAGGGTTGCTAGAAAATTTATCATCTCAATAAAGAAGGCGAAGAATTCTCCCTTTCCCTCTCTCACACTCAGCAGGCAGATTTGAAAAAAAAAAAAACGTATATACCGCCCTCTTAACAACCATTGAAACAAGATGGTCACAGCAGAGAAAGAAACATGCCAACTCTGTCAGAAGGAAGGAGACATCAGCACATATCCTTTGTGAATGTGAAGCATAAACCCGGTTTACAGTAAGGCTCACATCAAAAAAGAGGTGCACTAAGGGTCACCGAGGAAAGTGCTTATAAGAAAAATTGCTCTTTCCAAGGCATGGCTATAATTTAGGGGTTCCACATTAAGATTTATAAGGTCGCAGTGGAGGAAATAATTTTAAAATTCTTATTCCACCCCAAAACAAAAAAATAATCTAATTCTTTTTCGTTAAACTCGGTGGTTGAATAACCATTTTCTACCCGAGGAACTAAGGGGGAAATAAACAAACCAAATTTTTTCCTAATTTTAAGCTCTTTTTGAAAACTGCCTATATTATTATTTCACCCTTCGTTTTCGAAACTAAAGAAAATAATCAAATAGTATAACATTATTAACTGCAAAACTCAGCATATATAAATGGAAGCCGTATCTACAACTTAAAGTAGATTACTCTAATACTCTATTCGTATTTTGGTTTAATATAGGTCGACTTTCAGTTAGTAAATAATTCCTAATTGTTGTGATGAACTTTTCTATTAATAGTAAATGACAGACATAACAAATATTTTGAACGATAAATTACTATCTTTAAAGGTCAATTGAAGGAGCATAATTTTGTTGAAAAACTCCACACTTTCTCATACTTCAAAACATCTGTACTTAATTTTCTGTGCGTGATCTTTTACAGGGTAAAGATTATGTTTCCAGAGCAATGATATATTCTAATATGATTTTTGCTTATTTGAACCATAAAAATTGAATTTTTATGTTTAAGTACTTTATCGCTAGAAGGCATTAATTAGATATAAAATAGTCGTAACTCTCTACATAAATTCATTAATTTCGTGGTCCGCTTGACCAATTAAATCATTACAATTAATTAAGGTTTTTAGTTGAGATGAAAAAAGTTAATGGCACGAGCGGGATTTGAACCCACGATCTTCGGCTAGATACGCCGCTGCTCTACCACTTGAGCTATCGTGACCTCGATCCACTCGGACATCAACTTCCTATCTCAACCCCACCTTNTTTAATACAAAAATCCTGCATTATTTTCCGGACAACCCAATAATATGAAGTACACTTCACTAAAGCTCTCCGTGGCCATTTCAATTGCCGTCGAGAATCCAAACCGATTACACATTTGAAAAATGGCAAAAAGGAGGGAAAACTCATAAGGTGGGGTTGAGATAGGAAGTTGATGTCCGAGTGGATCGAGGTCACGATATCTCAAGTGGTAGAGCAGCGGCGTATCTAGCCGAAGATCGTGGGTTCGAATCCCGCTCGTGCCATTAACTTTTTTCATCTCAACTAAAAACCTTAATTAATTCTCTACATAAATACAAGCTGTAAAAGTGCCTTTTTTCTAAAATTAGGGCAAGAATGAAGTATCTTAATGCTCACCAAATGTCATCGTTCGTATAGAGAATAATAAAATGGTTAAATAATGTAAAATTTATCGGCACCATTTAAATGATACTTGATAAGCTAACCTAGGGGAATGAATAAGGCTTCTATGTTTATATCGAGTGTCGTGTTTATGTTAATTTACTGGAATGAATGTAATCTATTAGTGTGAAAGGATGGGGTAGCTTAACTCCGCCCCGAGGTATATGGAGTACTCTGGGGTGAGTAATTTGTCAACCTGAGGTATAAACGAGAGGCTAGCATTTTAGGATTTCGAGTTGAGTTCGTATGCATTTAAAAGAAGACAGTCAGTAACCAGATCGAGACGCTCGAATGGCTGTACTTTAAAACAAAATAAACGCGAAGGAACAGGAAAAGAAGGAAAACAAGTAGAGGGGCGGCGATGGACCTCAGCTGTTGTCGGCCCATAAACCTCCTACTTTATATATACCTAACAAGGGGAGGACCAGATTGGTGTGACACGGATTTGGACCTTACTTTTTTTGGTGATTTTACACTCCAAAATATTGTACGTATC